ACCATCTTTCTTTCCCCCTGCCTCCGGTCTTCCTGGGCTCAGCTCTGCTCCCAGTTTCTCTACCTCCTTCCCCCCAGCAGCACAGGGGGTGGGGAGGTGGAGGGTGTGAGGTGGGGGGTGTGTGTGTGCAGTCAGTCCTGTTGCTTCTTTCTCCAGGGCTGGAGAGAAACTCCTCATATTCTTCTCCTGCTCCAATGTAATTCCCCTCTCAGTGGAGACAGTCCTCCATGAACTTTATCTGACATGAGTCCTTCCTAAGCTGGTTCAGCATGGGTCCCTCCCAGGGGCTGCAGCTATCCCTGAGCTGCTCTGGCATGGGTTGCTCCCACGTGTTGCAGTCCTTCCAGTGCTGAACTACAACAGCGGGGCCTTCTTTGGGTGCAGCCACCTGCTTTGGTGTGGGGTCCTCTGTGGAGTGCAGGTGGGCATCTGCTCCACTGGTAACCTCCATGGGTGCAGGGGGGGTGGCCCTGCCATCTTACCATGGGCTGCAGTGGGGGGGGTGCAGTAGCACACCACCCACTCTTTCCTCCGCTGATGTCAGTGTTAGTGTAGGTGTCCTTCTTGCAACTTCTCACAACTCCCATTTCTCCTCCCACATTATTACAGAGGCGCAGCCACCATCGCCAATTGGCTCAGCCTTGGCCAGAGGTGGGTCTGACTTGGAGCTGGGGGTGCTTCGAGAAGCTTCTCACAGGGGCCACTGCTCACTAGCTACCAAAACCCCTGCCACACACAAACCCAGCACACTGACTGAAGGTCAGTCTGTGCATTTTAAATATGAATCACATCCATCACGCTGTTCCTTTCACATCAAGCCCCACAGAGAGCTACACAGCAAATGTGGCTGCTTTGTTCTTAATCCACTATGTATACCTGTTGGGTACCTGCCTATAGTAGTAGTTGCCTTAATGGAGTCTTCATTTTGGTAACAGTGGAGAGAGGGACATAAAGTATGTTTTTGTGTAGCCAATGTACATTGTCACCAAAACAAAAATAGTGTTAGTGGGAGGAAAAGAGAACCCATCCAAGTGTTGTGTGCCCTAACATCTGTGCACAATTCTGCCTGCTTTATGACTACGTGAAAATTTTTGATGTTACTGATGTTATGAGTTAGCTGTACTTGGAAGGAAAAAAAATATCTGTCTTTATGAATGGAATTAAAGCCCTTCCCTTGGAAAAGCCTACCTGTAGTCATACTGTTTGTTAGGCTGTTTCTCCATCATTTTATTTCATAGAGATGTAGCAAACTCAAGTATGACTGATAGAGGATGCAAAGCATGTGTGTGGGCATCAGAGCAAGGCAAGAAACTGATCATTTCTCTACTGGGCATCCACACAGAAGCTGCACACATGCAGGCTCTAGTAGGCTCTTTCCTTGCCAGCCAGAATTAGGAGATAAAAGATAGTCTGAAGAACATGACCAGTTCTGCATCATGTTCCCAGAAGTGTCTGTGAAGATTTTGAGGAGTTGCTTGTTCTCTGCTTACACTCTGTGGCTTTGTCCCTCTGAGGGAGGATGCCAAGTGAAGAAGGTGCTAGAACAGCCCTGGGATTCCTGCTGTGCTGTAGACCACTTGTTTTATTCAGGCAGTTCATTTACCCCCAGATCCTCAAAGGCAATGAAATGATTAAATGCCTTTGAGCCTTTGCACCTCAGCCATTTTGGATCTGTCAGATGTCTAGAAAAGTAGAAATAACATTTTCCTTCAGAAGACTGGTAAGAATGAGCTCGTTAAACCTTTACGGGGGATGGAGATCAATATTGCTGTTCTGCAGGCTGCAGAAACATTGAAATTGCTTTGCAACTTTGCAGGTCTGCCAGCATTTATGTAGACATGGCTTGTTTCTTGCTTATTTGCTCATATTTCTTGTAAAACTAGCCAGTTAACTGCTATACCTATTATATCTCACACTCCTGGGATTGTAGGCTTAAGTTTTGATCCCTTGGTGTTATCTTATGTGCTTCCGTAAATTCCACACCCTGTTCCTTAGTTCTGCCTGTGAAAATGTGGCATGCCTTTGAATTGCTTGCCATGAGATCCTTCCCTCTTGATCCTAATGGCTTTGGTGGGTGCAAGCTTGCCTGGCTTGAGGATCACTTTGTTGATGAATAACCGTGACCCAAGAAGACCTTCCTGACTTGCAGAGGGATCCCAGCAAGCCAGATCTGAAGGACACTGGTGAAGCCTGTGGTTTGTGTATTATTTCCTTTTGGCAACTCAAACTGTCTGCAAGAGACAGTTTCTTTTGCTCTGCTAGGTGAGCACAGAGGCACTCTTCGGTGAGCAGGAATTCTCCCCCTGCTTTCAGCAAGAGTCTTCTGAGGATAGGAGGTTGAGGCCAGTCTTGTAACAGGCACTGTGTGAAGTCAGGTGTGCAATCTGATAGGGGCTGGCAGCCCTGGGGAAACGCGCCAGGGTTGCCAGGGAGCTCTACCTGCCCTCGCTAGGTCAGCACCGGAATTAGGCAGCCTTTGAAGTAGCTATAAAATATCTGCTGCAGCTCCATCTCTCTTGTGGTTGCACAGGGACCACTAACAGCCTCTGGAGAACGTTTCCTCCCCAAAATGTTGAATAATGAGAAGCCCTAATGTCTCTTAAGCCTAGCAGTTTAAGGCCACTGCTGGAATGGTCACGAGCAGCTGGCTTTCTCTGCAATGGATGAGGCTCTTCCAAGGCACATGATGAAACAAACCATGTACGCTTAGCTCTCTGCTTCCCTCCTTTTCTTGCCTCGGAGACCAGCATGATGAGTTACGTTAGCTGTGATTAAAAAGCCAACATCCTCCCCGCTTAATGACACAATTACTGCACGCTTCCCTGAGCTGCACAGTGACTGTAGCAGCAATTGCAGTTGCCAAACGCAGCTCAGTTTAACAGTACAAAGTTTTCCTGGAGAATAAAGGTGGAACCTCACCCCTTCCTAACAGGGCAGCAAAGCCTGAACCTTTCCACGTGTTCGTCTGAGCTTTTATAGTTCACAACCAGGAAGCTGCCTACTGTGGTCAGTTTATCATGCCCATTCATCTACAGTAGCTGAGCTGGGTAAATACGGGGATCATTCTGCATAGTAATCAGTACTTTCATAGAAGTAATACTTTGCAGTTTACTTTGAAAAAGAAGTCCCTTTCCTTAGAGTCCTGATGTTGCGCACAAATGTTCTGAATGCTTCTTTTCAGGTTTCAGATTCAGCCTGGGGGAAGAAGCACAAGTCTGCTTGGTCCATTCATTGCCACCTGTGACGTGAGGATGTGCTTTTTTGCAAACCCACCTGCTTGTGATGATAAGCTATTAGTGAGCAGTTGAGCTATGTACTCTCTCTTTACCCCTTGTCTCAGACTACTTTGCTTACATCAGCTTGCTCCAGGAGGTGACTTGGTCCACGAGTTTATAGCCCTTTCCTTTTTTTCTGGAGGAGCCTCTGAGCAAACACTGCCTGCTGCATCAGACTGTGCGGGTGACTGAGCCTCTGCTGTTGTGATGGACAAGTAGCCAGTTCTTCCCCGCAAAGCCAGCTGCCTCCTGCCCTTGTGGCTGCGAGCCAGACGGCCGCTCCTGCTTCCTTCTCCAGGCAGGCCGCGTTAGGTAGAGAGGGTGAGTTCAGCCGCTCCTGCTGCCTGGAGGAGGGGAAGGGCAGCTGCCTGGGGCAAGAACAGGCGGCTACTGCCACAGAGCAGTGGGAGCACCCCTATGCAGGTCCTGCCTCGGCCGGACCCTTCCCATTGTGCTTCTCTGCCAGCTCTGTCAACATGGAAACCCGTAGCACCTTCTTATGGGCGTAATTTAAAACCAAAAAAAAGTCAAACTGGCAAACTTCTCCTCCCTCCCCCTGGATCTGTGCTGGAGGCTTTACAAAAAGCATCCTCTTTGCTGCTGGCTGACGCCGTTACCTCGGGCTCCTCGGGAACTACAAGGGTGCTTCTGGCCTGCCCGGCTGTGCGGGCTGCACCCCGGCCAGAGCCGCTTCGTGCGGGGGGCTGCGTGCGGCGGGGCTCGGCCCCCCTCCACACGGAGGGAAGGGGAGCCCGGGGATGCCGAGAGCAGGCTCGCACATCGCGCCCGGCTCTGGCGGCGGCTTAAGGCGGAGGGAGCTGCCTGCTGGCGTGGCTCGCCTCACGGGCCG